AAAAACAAACGAACAAGCAAAAACCAAAATGACAAACCTCTCCAAAACAACTGCAAAAATAAGCCCAAAACAACACCAGAAACAACACCAGAAACAAACAACAAAAACAACTCAGAAGAAAAAGAAACCCCTCCAGATCCTCAAAACTTGAGCAAAACCCAGCTGCCTGCACCCACCCAATTGCCTGCATCAGTGTGCTGACAGTCCCAGCTGTGCACGGAGAGATGCATATGGGTTATATTTGTCACTCACAAAAGCTTTTTTGAGTAGAAATTTGCAATGGTTATATATGAGCTTTGCACAATGTGCCACCTGTCCTCTTGCCTGTGTTATTTCAGTAACTTGAAGCAAACCAGTTTGATAAGCTTTTATTTATTCCACAGCTCAATTAACACTGTGCCCGAGGCACAGGCCTTTCTGATCCTCCAGCTTAGGGTCTCATCTGTGCCCCCAAAACTGGTCTTCATCAGCATGGTAAGAGGATTTGCAAACCTTGAAATCTCCTGCAAAGCTGTAACTGTGAGGATGGGGCTATATCACCCCAAATATTGCCAGGAAATGTCTTGTGGGATGGGCATCTTGGAGTGGGTATTTGTCAGATGGAGGTTTTGCTTTTCTCTCCGTCTTCTGCTGTCACAGAGCAGAGCAGGAAAGGGTTTTTTTTGCAAACCCACTTGTGTAGAGCATCACATCTATTAACTTCAAAGTTCTTGGCTCTCAGTGTCCCACACCCTTCACCATCCTCGTGCAGAGAGGGGCCAAGCCTGTAAAACAAAAATTGTATTGCTAAAGAGGAGGAAACTCTGCAAATTTCGCAGAAAAGGAGTAGTTGGATGGGGTTATTCTGCTCCTTTCCTGCACTGTCTCACTCTGCATGCATCCTTTCTTGCTGGAGGGATGACCAGATTTGAGGAGAGTTGCTGTGCCTGCGGTAAGATCTGCAAGGAGCAGTCCAACATCTTGGACAGATGGGTCAGGCACGAACTGGGTCTGAAACAGAGCAAGGCTGCTGTTTATACTGACAAACTGTGGATACACTCACATTTTGGGGTTGAAAGGTGTGTTGTCCACCCATTTCCACACCTTCTGATGTGACCTTAATCCAATCCACACAGGTGGTGGGCTCTTGCCTGTAACAGTCCTGATGTGCTCCTGGAAAATAGAAGTGACCAGGTGTCCCAAAATCTCTCTGCGGAGGGTTTCATGGCAATCAAATTCACAGAGTAAATCTGACTCCCAAATTCATGAGACATGAATGTCTACAATACTTTGAATGCTTCCCCAAACCCTCCTGTTGCTAGGCATTTTTTTCTTCCTGCCCACCTAAAAATAGGGACTTCTATGTACTTTTTAAGCCTTCTTCTCCCCATTTACCTTTTCTTTCTGGTCCTGGAGCACCACCAGCTGGGAATCCTGATTTTCACAGTTTTTCATGCCTTGAGTCCAGTTTCCCAATTCCTCAGAAAGCCAGTAGCATCTTTCCCCATGGAGCTGCCAGTCCTGGGGACACAGCTTGCAGCCAGCACAGGCTGAAGAGGAGAAAAAGCCATGAAACACTCTGAAGGTTTGTCAGGTTATTCCCCAGCCACCAGCTGAAGGTACTGAGGGATGAGGGGTTCCCCATCCCACACCCCAGCTCTTTCCCCATTGCTGAGTTTTTTCACATCCATGTGGTTTTTGCAGCCACTGGAGCCTGGGTGACCACAAGGACATTATTGGCCAGTGGAGGTGGAGGAAGAGTTCTGAGGAGCTTCCTCCCTAGGGCTGATGATGCTTCTCTATGAATGAAGGATCAGGAAAAACTGCATGGAAAAGAGGATTCTTCCCTGCAACACTTCTCTTTGCCAAATAACCTTTGTGGCCTCACAACCCCAAGGGTCTCAGGGTCTCTCTCCTTTCAGCAGAAGACCTCCACAAAATTGTCACCTGAGCATCTCCCAGCAGAGTCAGATGGGAAGGGGGAATTACCTGTGGGGCTGTCCCTTTGGGGCTTGCAGAAATACCGCACCAAGGATGAAAACTTGCACTGCTCCACCTGGTTCCTTCCCTGGATCCCACTGCCTAGCTGCGGAATACCTGTCACCACAGGCTGTGGGGAGCCCTGAAAAACTTGGAGCAGTAATCCAGAGTGAGAAGCTGCAGCCATTTGGGGATAAAAACCACAAACACCAAAAAACTGGGTTTCGTTTTCTCATGCAGTTGCTTAAGCCAGCCTGAAAAACACAGCTTGCATTCTCCACCCTTTTTTGATAGCTATGGGTATAATCTAAGATTACTGGGAATGGGTTTATTCTTGATGGGTGATGTTACATCTCCACAGGACAACCTCGTCCCCTCCAAAGACTGAAATGCTGAAATTAACCCAAATTTCCCCTCCCTGGCTGCTCACTGGAGTGTGAGATGTAGACAAGAGCTGGTTACTCACCCCGCACACTCAGCACCACCACCAGGACCAGCAGGATGAGTTGTCCCAGCCCCCCAGCTATGAAAAGGAGCCTGTGCCACCATGGACAGAAGGCAGGTGCTGAAAGAGGCCACATTTGCTTTGAAAAATAAAAGATGAAAATGCTGGGAGTTTAGAGGTGGCGGGGGGGAAAGCCCCTCTGTCAAGCTTGTGAGTTTGAAAAGAAGTTTACAGCATTTTTCCTTCCTCCAAAAAAGTAAAACATCACTGATGAGGTCTAGAGTGAGGGTGGTTTCCCAGGAAAGCCCCTCTCAGGAGGAGGGGCTGCAGGGGCCTCAGAAGCACCCTTGGGCACCCAATAATGAAGCTTAGAGGATTGGAAACCTTCTGAAATTGGCTTAATTTAGGGTTCTTAGTAGAGATGGGAGCTGGTGAGACAAAGGTCACTCCAGCTCTCATCTCCATCAGGATTCCAGACAGGATCTCAGCAGCTGTCCTTCCAATCCAGATGTGTTGGCTCACGTTGGGTTTCTTGGCACCCATTTTGCCCCCCAGGTGAAGAGTCTTGGAAACAAAATGGTTCCAGATGTCCGTCACCCTCTCCCATCCCTTCCTTTCTCCTTTTTCTCCTCTTTCCAAGTCAGGATCCCACCTCAGAAGACATTTAACCCACAACACTGCTCTCCATGATCTTGGAAACCTCAACACGGAGATGAGGAAACAAGCAAACCTAAATATATGCAAATCCAAAAGTCTTCCCAAAATTTGAAACAAACATTTTCCCCCCGAAATAGGACTTACCACAATGCTTCTCAGCAGGAGAACAATCCCCAAGATGCCTTAAATCAGCATATACAATTTCCCCAGCCATGGCTGCTCAGAAGGTCCCAGGAGCAACCCAAAAGTGACAACGTCCTTGGACAGCCCCTTGCCTTGTAAACTATGCACTCATGTCTGCATCCGGCTCCAGGAAATGGTGTTGGCTGTGACTTTTATCTGCTTTTTTTTTTTGTGCATATGTATATATATATATATGTGCAAAACCAGCATCCGTATCTGTATTCTATGAAGGAATGAATGCCCTGCAGCCAGGAAGAAGTGGCACACCTGGAGGTGTAGAAACATCTGAGTTTGGAAGTTGTGCTAAATATCTGTGGAAGCAGAATTAATAGAAAATAATTTCAAGAAGCCTTTAAATAATTTTTTTTGACTGTGAGGTTGAAGCATGTCAGGAGCTGGATCAGTGTGACCACAGGCAGGTGGGGAGAAGACAGGTGACATTTGGTGTTTCTTCCCCAAAATATGGACTGGGAGTGACTTGAAATGTCTTTTGTCCCATGTGAGTTATTCTGCTGATTTTGACACCATATTTGGCCTCTGTTTTATCCTGGGGCAGAGAGATCTGATGTGGTCAGGGGTTGCCCAGCTCCTGCCCAGGAAGAGGTAAGAATCTGCATTTCCTGCAGGCTGCTAATGATTTTTATTTTATTTTGTTACTTTATTTTATTTTGATTTTTTTCTCCTCCAAGCCCACCCTCCCACTCCTGATGTATCCTCTTGCACCATCTAGACCTACCTGTGTTTTCGCCAGGTTTTGGGCTCTTTGGCAACTGCATGGAACAGCCACCAATTTCCAGCCTACAATAACCTTTTCCCCCTCTTTCCTCTTTTTTTTTTTTTGTTTGTGTTAATCCCAGGTTTTAGTCAGTGCCACAACATCCCAAAGCAACACCTTTTTATAGCGGTAAAAAAAATTATGTTTTTTTCCACTGAACACCCAAAAAAAGCAAGGAAAAAAGCACAAATTTGCTCCAATACCTATCAGCAACCAGAAAGAGGGTAAATAAGAGGATAAACCTAAAGGTCCAAAGGGTCCAATAGGAAAATCACTCTGTTATTTTATTTTTTATTTTTTTATTTTTATTTTTAGTTAATTAAAAAAATACTTTTATTTCAAATTTGTGTTTATGTAATTTTTATTTTTATATTTTTATTATCTCATGTTTATTTTTAGTTTCTTTTCCACTCGCAGCCTTTTCTTTGTCACTGAAAGTTTTTGTGGTGAGCTGCTATCAGCCACCCTTCCTACCCTGTGCACAGGCAGTTGCTCCAGTGGTGTGTGACCAATGATTACAAAAACCCCCTAAAAAATACAAACAAATTAGGTTTTAGGGTAAAACCCTGCAGCTGGGTAGCTTAATTGCAAGAACACTTATTTTTTTATATTTTTATAGTAAAAAAAACTTAAAATGGGCTGAAGGAAACTGTACTTCATCCTTGTAGAATCCCTGAGGGCTGGACATCCTGGAACAGAGTCATGTCCAGCAGAGTTTCCTCCAACTGCACACTAAAAAAAAGCATTTTGGACAATCTATCTCCCTAGCTGAGAAAAAAAAATCCGGAAATGCTGGAAAAGAGGATGAAGTGATGCCAGGTGGAGCTGGAGGGGAACCCCTGTTTCAGTGGGTGGGCAGGTGGCCCTGGGCAGCACCCTTCATTGCCTTGGAGGAGGCACAGGAAAACCCCTCAGAAAACAATAAAATAAACCAAAACAACTTTTTTTTTTTTTTTTTAAATACTTTGTTTCTCTTCACAGGAGCAGGTTGTGCCTCAAGCATTGGGCTTGTTCCCGCAGAGCAGACACAGGTGACAGGGTTTGGGATGGGCCCAGGGGCTGCGGGGAGGTGGTCTTTAATTTTGTTTGGAGAGAATTTCAATTTCAGGGAGAAGTTTTTAAGTGCAGGAGAAAACTGAGGAGATTTTAATAAGGGGAGATTATTTTAAGTGGGAAGAGAATACCTTAATTTTGGGGAGAAAATATTAATTGAAAAGAAAATATTAATTGAGGGGGAGAAGATGTTAATTGGGGGAAAACCTTTCATGGGGAGAAAAGTGTGCAAACTTTAATTATAGCAGAAAATTTTAATTGCAGGGAGAAAATGTTACCTGAGGAGACTTTAATAGGGGAAGATTTTAATTGGTGGAGAAAACTAATTTGGGGTGGAAGTTTTATTGTGGGGAGAAGACTTGACTTACAGGGAGAAAATTTTAACTGAGGAGAGAAAAATATAATTAGGGGGATAAAACTAACTGGGGGGAGAGGAAATTTTAATTGTAGGGACAAGATTTTAATTGTGTGAGAAAACTTCAGCTGGGGAGAAATGTTGAAATACAGTGCCGGGAGAAAATTTTAAATGGGGAGAAAATTTTAATTGAGGACCAAAAGCCTTCATGACACCTCTGATAGATGGAACTTTGCTTGGCAGGTGTTTGTTCCACCTGTAGAGGTGGAACCCTGGAAATGGAGGAAACGAGAGTTTATCCAGGACTTTCGGGCATGGCAAGGAGCAAGCGGGCAGGTAACTGCAGGGCAATGAACTGTAGAGTCACTGGATTTGGGTTTTATTTTGATACTTCTGTAATTTGAGAGCAAAACTCAGCTGAAGTAAGGTTGTTGGGGAAAAACCTTTTTCTGGTACTTCCCTTGAGGGAAAATTTTTGTCACTCAGCAGATAGAATTTTTGCTCTAAACAGACCGAATTCAGACATGATTCTAATTTAGTATTAACACTTCCTGAGGCTCCTGAATAATTGATTATTTTAGGCATATTTTTTCTCCACAAATATTCCAATTTTCTGATTTATTCTGGATTAGAATAAAGAAATTTTTGAAGAGTTGAACTGTAGAAGATCTGGAAAAGAAATTTTGTGTTTAAATCCAGTTTGGACACATCAGAAAGTATGTATTATTGTCTTATTTCCATGGAGAAATCAGCTTTCCTTTCGCCCTGTTTCAGCTTTCCTGATTTTGCTCCTATCTCTATCAACCCTTTGGCACACAGTAAAGTAAAAAAGGGACTTTTGGAGAATTTTCCATCATCTTGTTCTACCCAACCAGGGACCAAGATTTTTGAGAAATGGATTTACTTTACTTAGCACATTTGTAACTTTTTCCAATTTGATTTTTTTTAAAAAAATAAATTTATTTGTTGATTTTTCATTTGTTTTTTAAATTTTTTTCATATAACTTTTTAAAATATATATATATTAAAAAAATATGGCATGTTTGGCTTCTGACTTACTTTCTAATGTTTTCTTAGGAAGAAGAGGGGAGAGAAGGGTTTTTTCCATGACATTTGGTTCATATGATGAGGACAAAAATGAAAAATCTTAAACAAAAAATGGGGGAAGTCCTACTGGATGAAAACACTAGAATTTTTGGATAAAACCCCTGGGAAACAGAATTTTCTTTGCTCATGGTGAAGGGAAAGTGCATATTCTGAATCACAAGATACAGATATGGAGGTACCATGACTCAAAGTGTCTTAGTTTAGGTGAAGAAAAAAAACGCTCTGAGTTTTAATAATGAGGTAAACCCCAAAAATTAAAGCAAAGTTTAAATCATGGTACATTTCAGGAATTTGCATCTGGAGCTGGGGAGGAAATTGTACCCCAAAGAGGTCCCATGAATAAAAAGATAAATAATTGTGTTCTATGTGAAGAAGAATTTTTGGTATTTTTCATTCAAAATGACACTAAGTCTGCTGGCATTGGTATGAGACCAATCTTTCATCATCTTGGCATGACCTGTAGCACTTTGCTGCCCAGGGAGCCCTCTCAGAGGCACTGAAGGTCTGTTCTCCTGCAGGTCACAGCGTGGAGATGAAGCCAGAGGCACGTGTCACCTGCCAGGTGGTGCTGGCAATGCTTTTCACGGCTCTGTTCATCACAGCCATCGCTTTTGCAGGTGAATGCTGAAGTTTTGGTTTCACAGGTAACATCTCTGAGATATTTTGGGTGGTTGCATTTGTGACAGATCTACTTCCATGTTCCTGGGGAAGACAAAGCCCACCCAAGCTGCTGTTCTCTCTGGTAGGAGGACATTTCAGAGCAGTCTTTCTACAGAAGACCAAACCCATCCCCTGGGTGTGGGAGCTGATGTCATTTAGAAACCCTTAGAAAATCAACAGGAAGCACCATTTCAGGAGTACAGTCTCACAAAAGTATTGTTTTCAGAGAAGAAGGGGCCTGGAGATGATGGCATGAGTCCCACCAATTCAAGAAGTCTGCAGGAATAAGAGGATATTTTTCCTGTCATTTTCACTATTTTTGCATGAATGACAGAGAGTGACACCCAAGGGCATGTATAGGGATAGGGCTACTCTGAAATTCCTCTTTAAAATGTAGTTTTTTGAAGTCTACCATCCTGTTTCCTTCTTTGAAAGTGCAGCACCTGTGTTTCTTGTCCAACATCACAAGCGGAGCCATGATTTGAGCTTATTTTCTCACAGGATTTCTCCTGGTACCTTAATTTTCCTCTTGGCCCACAACTGAGGCAGATGCATGGGGAAAAGGATGATCTCCCCACACCAGAGAGGTGACTGGAAGGTGCTGCTGGTTAATGCTGTTCTATTTTTAACGACAGTGCAGGCTCTTCAGCCTCATGCCCAGCCCTGCTCTCCGTGTCCCTTTGACTGGATCAGGTACAGAGGAAAATGCTACTATTTTTCTGAGGCTGAGAGGAACTGGACATCCAGCCGGGACAACTGCTCAGCACTTGGTGCTTCTTTGGCCATGCTGGACAGCATGGAGGACTTGGTAAGGAGACATGAGGACCTGCTCAGCACAGGGAAAAAAACCCAAAAGCAGTGTATTTGAAACCTTTTGGTTTCTTTGACTGCTCTTCCAGGATATTTTTTGAAGGTCTGGGGGGAGAAGTTGGGGAAAAGGCCTTGTGGGTATGTCATCATGGGTATCTTCAAATTCCTCACCAAAGCCAACTGCTGCAAGAACTGTAGAATAAACTCCTGTTTCTAGATGACACTTTTTGGTATCAGATTCACCCATTCAAGCCTCAAAGAAGCCCTAAAGCAGCACAAGCAATTGGTAAAACTGAGATTTTTGGTTGGAAGAAGGTAAAAACCTTTCCTTTTCCTCTCTTTCAGAGCTTTGTGATGAGATACAAAGGCATCTCAGAGCATTGGATTGGCCTTTTGCGGGAGGATGAGGAGCAGCCATGGCAATGGGTGAACCGCTCACCTCTGTCTCAGCTGTGAGTCCATGTTTTTCATTATTATGTTGTTGGTTGGTGTTGCCTCAGCTGCAAAATGTGGCTTTCTTCTTGAACTCGAGGTACATCCAGAGGTAGCAATAGGACAGTGTTTGGGAAGGGCAACATTGCATCTGGAACTGATGTTTGTTTTCCCCCTTGACCTAAAAGATGGAAGTGGTGCATTTGGTGAGAAATCCTAAATTTAGATTTTTATTTTGTTTTTTTCTTGCAGAGGTTTGGGTTTTATATTAGAAATAGATCAATGTCAGTGTTGGCATATTGATATTGAATTAGTTCTATTCCTATAAAATAAATATATATAGATCTTTTGGCATGTTGGTGCCCATGAGAACGCCTGAGAACTGAAGCTGAGGGAAGCCTATGTGTGACTTCACTCTTTTCCTGACACCCCATCTGAAATGGGTTATGTCCTCTGCACTTCCAGGTTTTGGATCCGTGGTGGTGGGCTCTGTGCTTTCCTGGATGACAATGGGCTCAGCTCTTCCCACTGCAGCATTGAGAGGAGCTGGATTTGTAATAAACATGAGCTGAAGATCTCAAGCAATGGCAACAGGACAAGACGGCCTCCAAACCTCTGTGTCAGCTCCCTGGGTGCCGCAGGGAGGCCTTCTCACTCCCAGATACTTGGTGCACCATAGGTACATGAAAGAAAACCTCAAAAAGGTTTTGAATCTCCTGGGCAAGGGGTTATTGGGGGTTCAAGGGGACCAACAAGGTTCTTTCTGGGACAAGGCAGCCTTTGGGGATCCACAAGAGATAGTTCTTGAGAATATGGGGGGTGGGGGGACAGGGCAGCCCTGGGGGCTCTTCTTGGGTTTGGGGCAACTTGGTGATGGCCCAAAAGCAGACGCCTTCTACTTCTTAGAGAAAAAAAAATTTATTCTTTTCTGAGCATATTTACATATTGAGTATTTGGAAATACATCTCAAGCATGCGGAACAGCAGAGGAAAAGAGTAGGGGCAGTGGGTGTGAGCTCATCCTGGTGATGATAAAATCAGTTTTAATATAAGGCACAGTGGCTGGTATTAATACAAATCCTACAGAAAGTAAGATTTTTAATTTGTGCTGGAAGACCAGCCAATCACAGGCACTAAGGTCAGCAAAAAGAACCTTCAGAGGAAGCTGAATTTGGGGGAAAAAGTGAAGTTTTTAGCTCAAAACAAGCTCAGGGAAACCCAGCTTCAGTTAATGAGCTTTGTATGAAATTAAAAACTTGACACGAGCAATGCTGAGCTCAGACCCAAAACCCCCTGGACATAACCCAAACCAGAGACATCTGAGATGGAGGTAGGACCATGAACTGAGTTAGAAATGAGTCCAAGACTTGGAAAATAAGGGTTGGGAGTATCAACAAGCATTTACAACCACCACGATGCAGCCAGATTTTGGGAGGATCCTTCCAGGGCATCAGCCCTTGGGGGACAGTTTAATGGTTGAGAGGAGCACGCAAAAGTAGGGGAAGACCTTCTCCCCACTGAAGGAGGCCACAGGAAAAGTGAAGATGCGTTGGCGGCGGCTGACGGCGTAGAAAGAGACCTGTCCTACCTCGTAGTCCAGGTAGACCCCGATCTCCCCATTGAGGAGAGGGACAGAGGTGTTGGACGGAGCTGTGAGGGCAACACAGAGCTCATCATACTTCTGCAAACCCCAGATTTCAGCGTTGGGCTTGAAGAGGACCCGGCCTTTCCTCTGAACTGACTCACGGGCCACCCCCACAGCCCAGAAGCGCCCATTGGCCTCCACCTCCCAGTAGTGACGGCCCGAGGTGAAACCCTCACTGCCCAGCATGCATGGATCTGTGTCGAAGCGGCCTGGACCCTCAGGCCACTGGCATTCAGGTCTACCCCAGGTGGCTTCTTTGAGGTCTTCAGAGAGGATCACCTCTGGACCTACTGTGGCTGGATCCAGGGTCACATCCACTGAAAAGCAAAGCAGAGAGGAAAGGTGAGGCTGGAGATGTGTGAAAAGGTGGAAGCTGGAGATGGAGCATATATATCCGGTTGAGTTTGGTGATGGAAGAGCAAAGAGGTGGAGGTTGGAGACAGAAGCCCTAGGGAGACAGAAGGTGGAGCTGGAGAATCTCCAACTCCATTGAACATCTCAGCCCAGAAAACCAAGGAACAGGTACTTTGCTCCTTTCTAGCCACCTCTGATTACCTTCAAACTGTTTGGCGGTGTGGTAGTCCAGGGCAAGGTCCCACGTGCATGGCCGTGGTTTGAGGAAGAAAGCCATTGAGCCCTCAGTAACCGTGCTCTCTTCCTGACTGTTGGCAGAAGAAAAGGAAAGAAAGGATAAAATCTAATTATTATCCTTCAAACACTCACATCTCAGCTTCTGCCCCTTTCTATGACAAAAACGTGTGCAACCACCACTTTTAATCAAAGTACTTCAATAAAATGGCATTCTTTTTCTTCAACAGTTGCAACAAAGCTTGGTTCATTTACGGGAATACCCTTGAAGATGGGTTAAATCAATTAATTCCCTGACGACTATGAAGGGAACATGAGGAGGACATTGGGATAAACCCATCTCAATTGTAGATACTCTTATATCCCCAAATCTACATTCCTCATGCTGGGTTAAGGTAGAATCTATTCATTTTAAATCCATCTCTGCCTCCACCATTCATCAATCAAATATGACAAAGTTTATTTGAGTGAGGAAATTCACTAAAATTGAGATAAGCCACATTCACTTCTCACATCCAGAGAAATCTTGTGACAGGGAAGAAATTTGCTGTTGACCTTGGGGAAAATGTGTGTGGGGAGATAAGAGCTGGCACCAAATGGCCTCAAATTCATCCTCTGTAAGTCAGTGTGGGGTTTTGCATGCAAGGAGGGGATTGCCTGTGTTAAAGGGCCCTGTTCATGAGTAATAAAGCCCCAAAATAATTGAATAAACCATGCTGTTACAGCTGAAAACCCACACGTTGCTTCTTTTCCATGTGCCTTCCTCAGCAAATCTGCAGATAAGGGGATTAAAGCAGATGGGTGATGAGTAAAAGAGGAAAAAAGGTGAGATAATCACCCAAATGGAGATAATAGCAGGAGCCATGCTGTTTCTCACTCAAATTCCCCGGCTGGATTGTTATAGGTAGATGAGAAGCAAATAATCACCATGACCCTCCATTGCAAAACACCTTTAAATCCAAAACAAAGATCTTGAGACCAAAGCAAGGATAAATCACTTCCCTTCTTGAGTTCATGGGACAGGGAGGGGGCTCAAAATCCCCTTTCCCCAACCCTTACAGACATTAGGGTGATGCAACCCCCCTATCACCGCTGGGACTTTCCCCCTCACTCAAACCTTGGTGTTCTCCTTGCTGTCACTGGTGCTGTTTTGGGGTTCCTCCAGACGGTTTTCTTCCACTGGCTGCCTCTCCACTGGTTTGGTTTTTTTTTTTCCTTTTGGGATTTTTTTTCTTCCTCTCCCTGGCACAGGCTCAGCCAAAGCTCAGTCCTGTCTCAGCCTCTGCCAGCTTTTATCAGCCAAGAAGGGAGGAGCCTTCCAATCTCTTGCCTGCAGATGGAGCCATGACGTATTTAGACACCTTCTGCACCATCTGATTGCCCCTTTTCCCCCCCATTTCAGGGCCATTTATTTTCTCAACACAGGCAGAAAATGGGGAGGGAGGGGAGGAAAATTAAGGCACTGCAAAAAAAAAAACAAACCATTATTGCATGGCACCACAAAGGAGAAATTGGTTAAATTTTGTCCCCCTAGTTCCCCAAATCTGACTTTGGCCCCTTACACATGATGGAGGTGAACAAGCTGGGAGCAGTTCCAGGTGAGGAATGTGACAGCAATGCCTGGAAATAAGATAACCTTGTGGATATAAAAAAAATGTTCAAAGAATACTTGTGGGTGATGACATTTGCTTTTCCAGCTGGGCAGCTTGTGCCAGGAACTGAGCACAGGAACACCCAGGGGCGGTTCAGGGGCAGGCAGCTTCACCCTGTGCCACAGCCAACTCCCAGCACTCCTTTCTCTTTGCCAGGAGAGCAGCATGGCCACAGCAGCTGCACAAAACCTCTCTGCTGACACTGGCCAGAGCTTCATCTCTCAGTGCTGAAGAGAGAAAAGCCCCTCAGGAGGCAATGGGTGAGCCACCACAGGCTGTGGTGATGAAGACTTTTGGAGAAGCAGACAAGATTTGCGAGGTGAGATCACCTTCCTATGATCCATCAGGCCTTCCCCCTCCCCCTGAAAAAAAGGTGCAAAGTGAAAACATTTTAATTTCTTTGTGGGAAAGCAAAGCTCCAGTGCCTGCCCCTAGTTACGGGAAAAACACAAAGTGAGTTGATCCCAGCATTTCCAGGGAAGGCAGTGAGGGGGCTTTTTTAGGGGGATTATTTGCTTTCCTCCCCCAAATAATGTAAGATTTTGAAGGCAGGATTATACAAACAACCTGGGTTTATTGCTTCAATTGTTGTTTTTGGATTTTTTTGTTTGTTTTGTTTTGTTTTGTTTGTGTATTCAGGAGAAAATACAGTCTCATCTGCAATGCCTTAGGAAGGTGTTGGCAGCATTTCTGGACTGGAGAGCGAGTGAAGAGAAGAGACATCAGGACTACCTGGTACAGGTCCCCTCCATTCTTCAGCAGTCTGAATGGGTCTTTGGGTATTTATTTTTCCCCAAGCCCCTCTTGAAGAAACACGTGGGATCATACCCAAGAGGCATTCTGGCGCCCTGCAAAGCCCTACACCCAGTTGGAGTGGTTTGGTGCAGATCCTGGGCAGGTTTGGCAAGCACCACCTCCATGTGCAGCTGCTTATCATCCACACTTTAAACCAATGTCATGGCACTGCTCATTTTCATCCCAGACTGACTCATAAAGGGACGTTTGTTAACATGGAATTAATGCTTCCCCCTGCTTCTCAGGGCCTGGATTGTTTTTGGACAGAATGTAGAGAGGAATGGCAATGGGGGAGGGGAAAGAAGAAGCTTGGGATGAAATACTTAATTACCCTGCAGTTGCTAATTAGCTTTGCTAACCAGCCTTGCCTCAGTGTTGCAGCCCCCCTGGCTACAGCTTAAGTACTTTTATCCTTTAACTCAAAAGGGGAAAATTCAGGGCTGGGGGCTGCATATGTGTTTTCTGTCTCCTCCAGGAGATGAGTGAAGCCGAACGGCGCCGCATTGAGGCTGAGTTCCAGCGGCTGCGCCGGCTGCTGGCGGAGCAGGAGCGCACGGTGCTGGGGCGGCTGGCTGAGCTGGACAACACCTTCACAGCTACCCACGCCGAAAAATCACTGCGGGTGGCCGAGGGGGTTGCACAGCTCCACAGACTCATCGGGCAGCTGGAGGCCTGTTGCTTGCCCCAGGTGAGTGCCCGCCTTACCCAAAAGCTCTCCCAAACTGCTGCCTATGAGGTCCTTAACTCCCCCTTTTCTCCCTTTTTCCTTTTAGGATGCTGGGAGCATCCTAAGCAGGTATGTGGCAACTAGTTGCTTCATGTCCCTGTCACTCCATCTGCGGAGAGGGGGCTTGGCTGATACATCCGTCAGGTAACAACATCTGTCCCTGTCATTTCTTTTTCCTCCTGGAGTGAAGTGAGACTCCATCTCCCCTCGGGGCTCCCCAAGGAGCTGGAAAAGAGCCTGAGCTCCTGCTGCCGCCAAAGTGATGCTCTGCGGGAGGCCCTGGAGAAATTCAGAGGTATTTGGGTAGAAATCTGATATTTTAGAACAATTCCGAGGTATTTTAGGAGAATTTGGAGCCTTTGGGGAGAAATGCAGAGGTATCTGGGATAATTCAGATATGCTGGGGGAGGAATTCAGAGTTATTTTGGAAGGAGTTCAGTTGCATTTTGGGATAATTAAATTATCTGGTGGGGGAGTCAGAGGCATTTCAGGAGGAAGAGGAGTTTGTCCAAGGGAAAGGCTCTGCACCTTCTCACTCCCCACTCACTCTTCTTCTCTCCTCCCAGACACAGATCCCACCATGGGTCTCCCCACAGCAGAGATGACGCTGGAGACTGGCACAACTCCTCTCCCACAGCTTTTGGAAGAGAGAAAAAGTGTGCAGTGGGATGAGGAGGAAGGGCAGGACGAGGGCAGACAGCCCCGTTGAGACCGGGAGCTGGCTGGCAGCTGTCACAGGGGTCATTGCCGGGAGATGCACAATGTGGGCTCAGTAGCTGGACTCTGCGAGATGTACCCTGTGCATCCTCATCTCAGGTGCTGCCCATATTCCTGGGGACACAAATGGTTTTATGACAAGCTCCCCTCCCAGCTGCTTTAATTAGTAACCAATCTAGTGCTGCTGCTCACCACGTAGGTAATGAATTAAAGAAAAACAAAACAAAACAACCCCCCATTTTCCTTTTGTGTGTGTGTATGTGTGTGCATGCATCGGCTACATTTTACGGTATTTCTCGGTTCCGCTGGGCCAGGGAGAAGGGAGCAGGCGGGATACACGAGTCCCGCGAGGAGGAGCGACGGGCAGAGGGATATACGAGTCCCGCTTCTCGGGTGCGGGGTGGCGGATCTGTTCCGGGCCCTAAAATATGCGGCCTTGACTGAGAACAGCACGCCCCACTCCTCGCCGCCTCTGGAAGCGGCTGCCCCGTCTCTGGCTGCGGTCACTCGGCTGCCCCCTCACCCCGCACGATAAGCAGCGCGATAAGCGGCGACTCCCCGCGGGACCGCGCCTGTCTTGTCCCGCAGCGCCGCTCTCCGTGGCCATCCCCCGCTGCGGCTCTTTCATTCTATTTCTTTTATTCTGCTCCATACATTCTAGTCACATCTGGCCCCCCTCTCGGTGCAGCCCTTTTGGCCGCACCTGTCAGAGGCGACAGTCACCCCCCCGGCCCCTCGGCCCTTCCAGAGCCCGGGCAGCCAGCAGAGGGGCTCGCACCGCACCCCCAGCTCTCTGCGGCTCTTCTAGCGCCGTCTGGCCCTCGGGACAGCCTTTCTGGTGGCTCCAGCAGTGGCCATGGCTCGTGGCCCCGCTCCCGTATCGCCGCCTCGCCCGTCCCGCGGCTCAGCTCTTTGGGACGCCGGGCAGCGGCCACCCCAAGGGGCAGCTTTTTTTGGCTGTCTCGCCTCGCCCCCCGCTTCGTGCAGCCCCTTCACCGCCACCTCATCCCGGGGAGAAAATTTCTGGTGAAATATTTATACCTAGCATACCCCTGACTTCACTTGCTGCTACAGAATCCTTACGTAGGCTGAGATTCTTCTTTGGATAAACAATCAGTGCCTGAAATACTTGAGAATTAATTAAGCATTGAGTTGGTCTGTTGTTAAGTAATCTTCCAGGCGTTTATTAGAAGAAAGCATAATTTAAAAAAATAAAAAAAATATCGGTCTTTTATATTTGTTTGTTTGTTTTCCTTTTTTTTAAAATTTTTTTTTTTTCTTTGCCCTGAGACATCAAACTTTGGGTTTGTTTGGGCTCGGTTTCGCGGTCCAGCCCGGTCCCGCTCCACACCTCGAGGAGTCAGTGGCGGGACCGCCCAGCGCCGCTACCCGGGATCAAACAATGAGCAGGGAATTTTCCATGCGCCCCCGTCCCCAGGGCAGAGGCAAATCTGCGGCTATAAACGGCGTTTTTTAGGGAGTAATGAATGCCCAGTGCGTTTTTTTCCACCCATAATTTCTCCCTATTTTTTTTTTTTTTTAAATTTTATTTTATTTTTTCCCATGAAAAACCCGAAGCTGATCAATTCTGGGCCAATCCGATTTTTGGGAACATCGAACTTATTTTATTGTTTTATCTACCTTACGCATAACTATAATTCCTGGTTAGTATTTTAAACATTATTTTATATGGGTTTTTATTATTTTCATAGCTCTACAATAAAATTTGCAATTATACTTAAACATGCATATGTCTTACATTAAAATGAGATATAATACACTGAAACTCCGTTAACGTGGTTACGGCTAAAATACACACGACGGTGGGTTTTTATTGCACTTCAACCCTCCCGCTCCAAGCTGGCATCTACATGAGCTCCAGGGAACTCTGCCCACGTGCCACATTCCTGCTTTAATCCTTGTCTCCGGGAGCCCCCGCCTGGCCGCACTCTGCTTCCCCCGCTGCAGCCGGAGGGGTCAGAATTCGCCTTGCCAAGGGCTCGTCCCTGCCCGGCCCCGGCTGCCGCTGCGTTCCCCTCTCTCCGTAAATCCCCGCTGTCCCGCCCCTCGCCACTTCCAGGGATTCCCTGCCCAGGCTCCTTTCGGTGCGCGCTCCCCCCAGCGCGTCCTGTAAACAACCACGGCCGCGGGAAGCGCCTTCAGATGCCTCCAGGAGGAAACCACCTGCGCTGTCTGCTTGGATTTCTCGCAGGATCCTGTGACGATCCTGAGCCCTGCCGGCGCTGCCTGTGGCGGTGAGCGGCGGGCGGCGCTCCGA